CCTGATTTTACAATCTTTTTTAAAGCGGTCATTAAACAAACCTGTTTTACTGAATGGGTGTGGGGAGGAATTGGTTTTGGTTTTTTGCCAAAAACCAGCTGAAAACTGACCAAAAAAGCCCCACTGAAAATTGTGGTCACATGAATTCTGGAACTGGGTCATAAGTAGTTTTTGGAAGGTCTGCTAGAATTTATTAAGTAAAGACGACCTATACGTATAAGTTTCATTAAAAGATTTTTAAAAGAATATACAAATTAACCAAGAACTAATATAAAGTAAAGAAAGAGAAGAAAGGAGAAGAGAGAAAAATAGACAAAAGGGCAAAAAGATAAAAAGAAATAGAAGAAACTTCTGATTTTCTTTGCAGCAAATACACGAACAATTACAACATTCTCTCATATTCTATGTCTGTAAAATGGAAAGACCTCTTTTTTTCTATTAACTATTTTTTAAATTCATCAAAACCAAGTTCTTTTTTTCCTGATTTATGTCTATAAGGGTTTTCAGGCAGCAATAAAATGCTGAGGGCTGAGTTTTGGAACATTTCACCTTAATTTAGTGACGCATCTATTTAGCCAGTATTTCATCCTAGTCATACCCACAGGAACATTAAGGAACATCAAGCAACCTGAAAAAGGATACCTGAGGACTGCAAGCAACTTTAGAGATTTAGCACACCTGGCTCCGCTGACCTGGATTCAAATTTCCAGCTTCAGAGCTTCATCTATACAACCTAGTTACTTTGCTCCCTCTTGCAAGACTTAGCACATTTTTCAACGCTACTTGTGGTTTAAACTTGGAAGAAACTCTATATATGAGATATTATCATTCAAGGATACTAAATCAACTTGAACTGTTAAGAGATTTTGAGTTTATTTATAAAAGAGTTGCATGTAAATGTCTTTAACATTAGAAAGCAAAGTTAAAAAATATTTTTACCCCACTTCACTGCAGATATAAACATCCTTATGCAAAACAGTATAATTTGCATAGGAAAAATAAGCTCATTTTTTTTCTAAAATGCTATAATAATGAATGGCTACCTTTGGCTGCACTGGACCAGACTACTGCAAGGTCATTCCAATTTGCAAATTCAGATCTGGAACCATCACTGTAAGGTGTACCAGTCAAAGTAATTTTACACATAGATATTGCAGAAGTATAACCTATTTGTGGGTTTGAAAAATACAACTTTTGCTGTACATTTTTTTAAAAAAGCAATGTCTCCTGATATGTTTTTCTGATAGGTTGTTAATATTTATTGTTTCTAGTTCAGGTGGGCTATAAGCTGTGTGAGCTTTGCCCCAGTTTCATTGTCCCCCTCACAACTTCTGTCCTCCCTTTCTAGTCCAGATTGTTCCTGAAAAGGTGATGGGCTGGGTTGTGGAAAGCCATATGGGGCAGGGGAGGACTAATGCTGAAACAATTGAAAGTTTGTTTGGGGAAAAAGGTGGGGGGAAAGGAAGAAAGGCTAAACTGCAGACAAAATTCTCCCAGCTCCATTTCCCCTGCAGCTTCTAGCTCACCTGGGCTACAAAGGGAGGCGGGCAGGAAGCTGTGAGGAGGGAAATGAAGCTGGGACAATTGTTATTCTTGTGCCCTATCCATCATCGGATGTTGTCAATTTTATTTTTATAATTTTTATAGAAGTATCAAATTCAGAAAAGTGAGCCTTTGTGTATATTTCATAGATATGTTTATTTGTGATGTGTACATTGGAATGGACCGTTTATAAGACGTTCTTATATACTCACCTGTGTATTCAGGTAGTCCTCGAATTGCAACCACAATTGGAATGGAAAATTCAACATTAAGTGGTGCAGTCGTTAAGCAGGACACCCATTTGACTGCGACCTTTCCTGCCAGCTTCCTCACTGACTTTGCTTATCGGAAGCTGGCTTGGAAGATTGCAAATGGCGATCACATGATTGCAGGATGCTGATCATGATTATGTAACCATGATGGGATGCTTGGCCTTCATAAATACGACAACTAGGTTATTTTCAGGGCCCTCATAACTTTGATCAGTTGCTTATCAAAAGTGTGTAAGTTGAGGCATATTTAATTTGTATAAAAAAGAGGCAATAGCCAATTTCTTTTTAAAAGTTCCTTTGATTTACATTGATTTAAAAATTGATTTAATTTACATCTGAGCAGAATCAGAAAGAAAGACACTGTTGAGGAAGAGAAAGATGCTTCATCCTTCGCCTGCATAGCTAGGCCATTCTGAAAATGGACCCAAAAGGAGAATAAAAATATCAAATCCAGCCTAAATATCTGGCTGACTGTGTGATGAACTATACTAATAAAAAACAAAAGAGAACAATGTTCAGCTCAATTCTGCCTTAGGTTTTGGTATTAGCAATTTGAGAAGTAGCAAAAAAAATTTCATTTACTGTGTGGAATATAAAACACGTGTAACGGAAGAGATTCTAACGTAATGATATACACTAGACATCATTCATTAAACTTGCCTTAATTCTTTTTAAAGCATGACTACAGAAATTAGGAATAGATCATGCAAACAAGCAAACAAACATGTATTAGATTCTGCCAACCATTGGTTGTGTTTTTTTTATAACTACTCTCCACGAAAATACATACCGGTAGTTCCTTACTCAAGTTACTTGCATAAATCATATCGATGCAACTCTTTTCGTTTAAATAAATGCTCACTAACTCTAATGCATAGATTGTTTTCATAGAAATAGTTAATGGAGAAGACAAGAATAGACTGAGTGACAAGGCTCTTGCCATAATGCTAAAGCAGGAGTTTTCCATTAAAAGAATAAATAGCCTCAAACTCCTGTATTTCCAAGTTCACAATAATCAGAACTCCCAATTCTTATACATGCCAAGTCTTAAAATTATATCATACTAGGCCAAGGGTTGGCAATCACCGAGCCATCATTATTTGCATTATTTTTGGTGGATAAAGTTGAAAAGATGTATTTTGACTACTTGTATATTATTTTGGAATATTTGTAGATCTTGAACATGTCCACAAGATGTCTGCAGAGATGACAACTATAGTTGCTTAATGGTCCCATACTTGAGGAAAATATTCAATGTCTCCTTCAGGGGAATATCCCCTTCCACCAGGGGTGAAATCTACTTACCTTCGCTACCGGTTTGCAAATGTGAGTGCGCAAGTGCATGTGCTCCACTCTCATGTTCCATCTCTGTGCATGCGCAGGACCTTCCGTACATGTGCAGAATGTCAAAAACGGATGTGATGATGTCTGGGCGGGTGGGCAGAGCCTGCTACTGAGCGCGCCTGCAAAGGTAAGTAGAGCAGCGAGGGGTGTTCCGCTGTGCTATGTGATTTAGATTAGCTAGAAAGCAGGAAATAAATTGCATGTCGCAGCTGATTGTCGGAAACACTGGTTCGCTTGAACCAGTAGCATGTTTTTACTACCAGTTCGCGTAAACTGATAGCTTTTTTTACTACCACTTCGGATGAACTGGTCCGAACTGGTAGCATTTCACCCCTGCCTTCCAGCCAAAGGAAGGTGATTTAAAAGTTGTCTACTGACAGAGAATTCTGTACAATTGTATCAGTCTTAAAAATTCCATTTCTGAGAAAAGGAATCTAAACATATGGTTCATGTTCTTGACACATTTCAGTTAACAGTTTTTGGCCAATTTAGTGATGATCTGCAGTGAAACTGGGAAATGGTGAATGCAGTTCTTCTGGAGCTTTTGGACCTCACAGTTGCTTTCAGAATTATCAACAAGACACCCTACTAGATTATCTGATGGAACTGGGCCTTATAGGAGAAGCTTTTACTGTAGTTTCAGCCTTTCATATAAAGCAATACTCAGAATGTGGTGGTTGGGAACTTCTATTTAATATTAAAGCTTTGATCTAAAGTATTCCATAGATTCCCTTGTGTTCTCTCTGCAGTGTAACATCTACATCAAATTGCAGGGGAACACAATAGCAGGGTGTTATCCAGACTGATGAACCCAGTTCCAGTGTTTATTAGCATTTAGATATTTTACCTTTGAGTCTTGCTTAAGTCCAATAATGGATTGGATGAAGGAGAACAAGGTGAAACTTATGTAATATTAATGTGTTACTGATAAATAGGTAACTCAACTCAGTGACTGAGGTCCAGACTGTTTTGTACAGGGTTGTACTCCTCCAGAAAGAGAAAGAGGGCAATTATAGCAAAAGTGTATTTGCACAATTGTGGGTAATGCCAATTCACTAATAATTATTCTAGGCTAGCAGCATTTAATGAGAATGACTATGCTGACTACATCTGACTATTGCAACTTACTGTACATGGGCTACTCTTAAAAAGCATCTAGCAACTCCAGTACAACTACTATATATAAAATGTTTCAGTCTAAATATATATGGTTCTGCTTATATCAGGAATTACTTTTCCTTGCATGAATTTGTTAAAATGGATAGAAGAGTGAGAGTCCCCTTTGAAGATCTCCTTGCTATCAGAGGTTTGCTGGGGAATTCTGGGAGTTGGAAATCCACACATTAAAGCTGCCAAGATTGAGAAACACTGATCTGAAAGTCTTTGTGGTCATATCTTTTACTAGTTTTTCATGTTAATATTAACATTGATTCATATTTTGATTTTTGGGAATTGTTAAAAAATGATAGATGGTTTGAATATTGTTGGGGTAGAAAGATGGAACATAAATCAAACAATGTTTCACAAACTATAATGTCTAGTTTTTAACATGCCAAATCAAAAACAAGTAAGATACATTATAGTACCTTATAGCAGAATTGGCACTGCATCTTAACAAACGGTTGTCCACAGCTTATTACGTAGCTTAAAATCAAAAACTTAAAACTAATCCTTGTTTGTAAGCTATCACAGATCATTGCCTCTTTGGATGAAACTCAAAGGCTTTGTTTCAACACGAGGATCAAGCATCGCTATGCAGTTTTGTGTTTATTTCACAAAAGTTCAGCTGCCACAAATTCCAAGGTTTCCCCCCACCCCCTTTTCTTTTAGCATTTGTCCTACTTGTTGAGGAGTTTGCTGGAAGGCTCTGTGCTTGCCTACTTCGCAGAGCAAAGGCATGATGCAAGGAGAGGTTAGTTCTTCAGCAGGCTAATCAGCGAACTTGATGCTGCTTGGGAGCTGAAAACAGAGAATGGGCCAAGGTCACCCAGCTGTCTTCTCTCCCTAAGGGAGAACCAGAACTTTGGTCGTCCTACCGCTAGCCCAGCACTTAATTCCAGCACCTAACCACCACAACTGCAGCATATTGGCACTCATTCTCAAGAAAAATGCAGCTGCTTTAAATTCTTGCAGAAATATGTAACATTTCTATCATGTGTAATCCACAGCAATTATTGGACCGGAATTGGAAGCACTGATCTGCCCTTTCTTCAACTGCCATGCCTTGGGAGGGAGACTGAGACTCAAACCTCATTAACATATTAAATTACTTATCATTATATTTGAATATCTTTATAGGAAGCCACCATGGGTGACATTCCCTTATACTTCTATGCAAATTATTGTTTGTTGCCATTTATTAACTACTAATTCCTTTGGGTTAAATGCTGAGGCATGCATGCCTGTAACATAGACTTCACTGTAGAGGACATATTGCCTCCAACAATTATGACCAAAGCACACGTCTGTTTAGGGGTAAAGAAAGATCACCTGACTGTTTTGCATACAAGAGCCATTAGAAGAATGTTCCTGTGTAAGCACTGAGTGAGAACTCACTAAAACTGAATTAATAAAAACAACACTGTCAAAAGGAAGAAAGAAATGTCAGCAGTATCAAGGGATTTGCATCGTCTACTCTAGCTAGGGAGATAAAATTCAGCACTATTAAAGATTTTTTTTAAAAAAATAAATAAACCATCTCTCCCCTTTGCCCTGTAGCCAAAGCTTGACAATCAACTCCACCCACAATAAAAACAGGGAGAACGGAAAACCAAAAAGAGGAAAATCTAACCAGGAATTATGCCATGTTTATGGAACTGTGACTCCACACAGACCTCAAGACAGAAAATCATTTTCACATGCCCATTTCCTCCTCCTCTCTAAGTAATCATTCTGAGCCAGGAGTGCGGAGGGTGGTCAGAAGGGCTAAGAGAAGAGGAAAAGGAGTGGTGTCTCCAGGAAGGATAGGAAGGGCTGCAGGATGTTAATGAGGCAGTAGGAAGCACGGAGCAAAACTCAGGGTCATGGCTTTCCCCTAATATGGTTGTGAAATCACTTGAAGCCTTCATTCTTCATGCAGCCAGCATAAATAACCAAATGCTATCAACACACACATACTCTCTCATTATTCCAGCCCTCTCTCACAGACTTCGGGACATTACAAATATCCCTCGATCACTGCTCTGCCCTCAGATCTATGCAGAGGCATTTCATGGCCACTAAACTAAAAGGTAAAAGAGCAGAGATTCCTCATTTATTTTCTCCTCTTCCACAACAGGCTCTTTCACCTCACAATCTGACAAGCAGGAGGCCTCACATCAGCCACCATGACCGACTGGCAAGTCTGTTTCCTGCCGATTGACCTGGGAAGGTAAGATTTTTGCCAGGGGCATCAACTTGTTGCTGCATTCAGTTTGTTCAATCTCAGGCTCAGTAATTCTGCTCCAGGGTCACAAAGCATTGGAGAAAGGTCCATAATGCAGATTTTCAACAAAAAGCAGACAAAGCTTTTGATTGTTTCAGCATTAGTCCTCCTGTGCCCCATATCCCTTTCCACAACCCAGCCCATCACCCTTTCAGGAACAATATCCTCTCCAGGTTCCTTAGTTTCTTAAGCATGATAAGAAACACCATTATTGCCAACTATTTCAAAAATTCCACAAAATTTTGGCTGCTACTCTTCTCTGTAAAGATGCGGAATGAAATGTTGAATATTTTTCAGCAAGCAGGAAGCCACACATTGTTTATTTATATTGCAATATACTTTATAATGTCCAATTCACAGGCGAAGGAAAAGAAACAGATCCAGAGAATATGTCTGCTTGGCTAAGTTCCCCCCACCCCAAACTTTTCCACAAAGTAAGTCTAACAACTCATATGCAACAGCTATTAAAAAAAACCCCTGTACTTTCCAAATCAACAAGATGTTCATCTCAAAACTGCTCCATGCTATGATTACAACACACCCACTCCCAGGAGGTCAAAATGGGAAAGAGAAGAAGTTGAAGACAAGAGATTGCACAAAGCCAATTTTTTTAGGCCTGCCTAGGAAAGATGGTAGGTTCTGGGACATGCAAAAGAGTATTTTCCCCACCCAGGAGCAGCGGCTCTTCCTAGTTATAAACATTATCTGCTCTACGGATATGGATATTTTATGAACACAATACTTTCATGGGAATACCTTTTCTGCCTGGAATAAGCGTTCAACATGTATTTAACAGACTTTTCTACAGAATTCGTTATCCGCTATCCAACGAAAGAATTCTGTGTTACCGAGAAAGCTTGCATGGTTTTTTTTTCCAGTAAAAGTTAGAAACTTATCAAGCCAGTTTCTGCTTGTTCTGCCCACATTTTTTTTTTCATCTCCCCTACGGGAAGGGAAAGGAGAGAACCGGCGTCCGCCGTTTTCAAGCCAAAGCGGGATCGGAGGGATCTCTCGCCCTCCGTTTCTCCCTTCCGAAAAAGCTGCCGGCGCAAAATCTACCCAAGTCATCCCGGCGCGCTGCCGAGCTCGTGTGTGCAAACGCGTGACCTCTCCCCAAAAAGAGAGGAAAAACGAACCCGTTGGAGGAGGAGGCAGGCCTAAAAAGCGGGGAAGTCCAGGTGTCAGCCCACCTTTAGGGGAGGAAAAACGGAGAAAATCGACCCCTCGAAGCCGAAAGGTAGCGGATTGCCCGACCGCTCCGCTTGACCGGGCACGCCCTCCCTCCATAGACAAGCAACCGGAATCCGCGGTCACGAAAACCTCAGGACCGACGCTTACCGTCATGCTGCCGTCTAAAGCGAACGGCTATCAAGCCTCCTCGGGGATGTTTTAGTTATCGCCCCACGTAAGCGGCGCTAAAGTCACCGCCGACCGCAGCGACATCCATGGCCATTTCTCGCCTTCCCTTCGCTCCGCTCAGGACTTCTCCGATCCGCCCAGGAGAAACTTTTTTTTTCCCCTCCTCCTTTTTCCTCAAAACTTCCTGAGAGGCTCTTCCCCGCCAATAGGAACGTATCGAATTGCAACGTTCGTGACGCGCTATTACCGAGAAGCCAATGAGGGAACGAGAACGGAGATGGGGCGGAGCCCAGCTGCCCCGAGGCGAGAGTAACCAATGGTGGAGGCGGGCGCGAGAGACTAAAGCGGCCGAGGGAGAACAGGCAGAATTCGGCTAGAGGCGCCGCGCGGTCCATTCCCAGACGGGGACCGACGTGCGCCGGGCAGCGCCTGTCAACCCCAGCAAAGGAGAGGATGGCTTACGAAAACCAAATAAAAAAAGAGACTATCATTTTACGGAAAGCCTTGAGGCACTAAGGCCGAACTACAATCCGACTTAGAGGCTTCCAGATCAGAAGATTAGAATACGAGAGGCTTCCTCCTTTTTACCACCCCTCCAGATTCCCGCGCGTACTTCCTCCCCTGCCTTTCTCTAATCCTGGGAATTATTGGGAAGGAGGGAGGCGCCTGATTGTAATTTAAGGGGGGGGGGGAGAGAGAAACACTCTTACCTTCCTTTTTCTTTTACTTTTTTTCTTTAAGAAAGGGGGGGAAAAAACACTCTAGTGCCATTATTTCTAATTTGGTGTTAATTGTGGAAAGAAGCCTGAGAGGGGAAACCTAAGTAGGATAAAAAGGGTATTTTGTGGAATTCATGATGATGGTTTACATATAAACTATGGCTTGCAATAACCGGATAGCTTCAGCCTTTAGGTGAGTGAGGGGGAATCTATGGCTCCTATTTCTGCACAAAGGCTGACAAGATCAGACAATGTATTTGGCTCTGAAGTATGCAATCCTGTAAAAATGAGTATCTACATTTCTGCCTTTGCCTGAACCAGAAAAAAGTTACTCACAGTTTCTATCATGCAATCCAAGAGGTATGAAAGACACTAATACTTTAAGTGAAGGAAACACAAATAGAGCAAGCATTGTGCCAATTACTATTTCCTAAATCAAAACAGGGAATGACAGCATCAAGACCAAAAGCAGTTTTAAGTGTCAACCTTTTAAAAACAATCTGACTACATTTCATTTATTTTACCTTCATAATTCTCAGCTCTCTATTTAAGCCTCTAGTCTCAGAATACCTCTATAATCAAGTGGGCTGTTTCCATTCACAAAAACTTGGGACCAAAATATCATATTATCTTCAAAATGCCAATGTAATGATAGCTGCTTAGGGTACATCAGTAAATTGAGATAACTATGTCTCTGGAAACTTAAACACCCATTATTCATGCCTTCTAACCCAGGGGTGTCAAACTCATGTCATCATGTGACATAAGTGACTTTATTCCC